TGTTTTTGGCCACCTCAGGAACATGTTGGTCAACAACTCTGGAATATTTAATTTCTAGATCTTACAGTTATGTTTCTTTCAAACTCTTAATTTGGAGAGATCTCCCCCCGAAATTGATATTTCTTACAATCATGCATAAAAGAGCTGATTCCAGTTCCAGAGTATGCATTGCATTGCCTTAGAACAGTAAGGACTAGTCAGGGCTTTTGGTACTGCTTTCATTTTGCTGGCTCCATGACCTGTTAAGATTGTTTAAAACCACTTCTAAGAGTAGAGCCACGTAGGAAAAGTGACTTCTCTGTATTTCTGTGTCAGTGTAGGGGAAAGTGTTGACAAGAAAGTCACCTCAATAACACATAGCTGAGTGTCTTTTTAGGGGCATAGTTATCCTTTCTACTTCCTCCACATACCATAATTCTAAAAATATATAAGAATAAGTAATTCTTTCTACATAAAGTTTTATGTTCATTACAAACAGTGCTCTAAATTCCAAATCTAACCATTAGACAATGTAAATCCTCGATGCAATTCTGTTACCCAAAGGCAAAATTGTTCATGAAGAAATGTCTGCCTGAAACACTTTTTTACTACATTGTACAAGTGTGGTACATTTATAAAATTTTATAGATTGTATACATCTCATCTTCAGTTCAAGGAAGAATGCTTCTATGTCCATTAAATTAATACTAGTGATCTAGAAAACTCCAATTTCAATTCTTCACACTCTCATCGTAGCCTGTATCAGAGATACTGTTACAGGAAAAGGTTCCACAAGAGCTGATAACTAACTGGATAAAAACAGCAAAAAGAAAATGAGGGCACAAACCTGACATGTGGGTGAAGGAAACGGCAAGAGGAAAGGAATACAGAGGGAAGAGGGTAACTCAAGTTATTTAACTTGCAACAGCGAAGCAGAGCTGAAAGCATCAGGTCACCCTTGTCTTTCAGACACTGTTCCTAGTTTCCACGTCATCTCAAGTTCTGGCTTATGAGGAATTGTTAGCTTCAACTAAATGCATGTTCTTTTCTTGGAAGAATGTTCTCCTGTCAATTGCTAACTGTGGAAAATATAGCCCTTTCTAGCTATGTAAGCATGTGTTTTGTTCACATGGATATATACATCAATTTACCATTTTCACATGGGATGGGGAGAAAATAGGGATGGGGAGAAAATACATATAAACATAAATGAAAAGGAGAAACTGCCTTCTGCAAAATTTAACAGTCAGCTCCAGGCTGCTCTTCTAACCTCAAAGGGGACATAAGAGTGCCAGAGCATGAGCCACACTATGGAAGAGCCAGCAAAACTATGTGGAAAGATGGGATTTCTCCAGAAGTTAAGGTCACTGAAAGTTCAGTTACAGTTAAAAAAATAAAAGGTCTGGCCCCTAGTTTGACTAGCAACATATTTGGTCTAGTTCTCCTATATAATTAAATTTTGTTATTTTTTTTTACAAACACACACACTCACACACAGAGAGAGAGAGAGAGAGAGAGAGAGAGAGAGAGAGAGAGAGAGAGAGAGAGAGAGAGAGAAAGAGAGAAAGCCAGGATGAATCTGTTTTTGTGGTGGCTCTTTGATGAGTCTCTAAAGGAATATTTTGAGGTTTTTCTCTTGGTTAATGTGGAGGATGAAATGTAATACTGAGTCCTTGTGATTATGGATTGTGTGGTGTTTTGAAAATGGAAATTATATTTTTCTTTTGGCCCAAAGGCTGGATTTTAGAAAACCACTAAAGAATGTTGTTTTAAAGTGATGACCTCAGCAGTAGGGGAAAAAAAGGTCATGTCCACGGAATGTCACTCAAGGACTATAATCTGTTGTGCTAATGTATGAGGATTCTGTCCTGTGCTTAGAATCACAAACAGAGGTCAGCAGTTCTTCCAGAGTTTTGGTTCCAAATTTCTGTGCATTGTATTTAAGAACTAGCAGAACTAGCAGAGGGGTGGGTATGAAATCACCAAGTAAACTTTGGCTCCCCTAGAGAGGAAGTACAGCAAATTTGACCTTTCTACCTAGTAGCTATTTCATTATAAACAAAGCATCTACCTTTTGGACACCTCACTCATTACATTGAGAGAACCATGATACCCACACCCAGGATTTTTATTTAAAATTAAATGAGTTATCACAGCAAATGTTATCATAGCTTTTAGATGGACACACATCTTTATTGTGGCTTTGTGATGAAAATATAGTATGCAATTGGAAATTTATGTGTTAGATGTCCTTTATTCTTAGACTTACAAAGTTCTAGTGAAACAAAACAATTTTAGACATTAAGAGCAAGTATTTCATGTTAGCAAATGTCTGCTTGAGACTGCCATTCTTCTTTGAATTATGCACAAGGAACAATTCCTTGCATCTATTCCAACCCATCCCAGAAGCAACTGAGTTGAAAGTCTGTTAGCATTAAAATGATTTTTTTTTGAAATTATGGTGAGGAGGGGCAATCTACCTAGTTCTTTGTGTCCAGACAGGGATGTGAAACCCTTTGGCATCTTAATAAAGCTGTTGTTACCATATAGCATACATTTGGGTTGTGGGGTTGAAAGGCCTATTTACTTGATGGAGAAATAAATTATAAATAGAATGAAAAAATTTTACTTATGAATCTGTGACCATATAGTATACAGATTTCATACAGTTTATAAAATATAAAAACCCATTAATCAACTTTTAGTTAAAGAAGTCTGCCCGCTGTACTTCTGGCTCTCAGAGCTCTGCAGAAACGGGAAGAAACCTAGGCAGCACTGTAGCTGAGGAAGGTGAAGATGGGTGCTTCTGAGTGATAAAAATGTGTCAACATTACAAAGAAGCTTGTTTGACAGACACTGACAATGATGGGAGAATTGAACAGAAAAGAACACACAAGTGTTATAAGTGGTTTTCCTGGCCCAAAGGGGAAAAAGAATCAGTGAGTCCACTGGATGGAAGGATGCTAATTTAAAAACATTCTAATGACCTCATCTTAATTTCTAATAGGAAGTTACATGGTTAGGGTGGGCCAGCTAAATATCTGAGGTTGAAGTAGAAATCACATTCCCTATCAGCCAGCATCTACGCTGTTCTTTGTCCATGCTGGCCATGATATTCACCCATAAGAGAATGCAACATGAGAGGCCAGAGAACACAGAAACAAAGCTCCTGTATCATCATCAGCACCAAGAAAGGAGAAAAAACTAGGAAGGAGGGCTTCTGTTATTTATGATTTCTTTGCCTTTCTTATGTGGATAATGGAAAGGTGATTTTCAAAGCACTTTTCTGTTTTCTTTTTCTTTCTTTTTTAAGTATAAAAGATGTTTGTATACCTCACCGACTCTCTGTACTTATTCTTTGCTGAGTTTACTGCTCTCAGCATTCTGACAAGCTCCAAAAATAATGACCTGTGCTGTGTGTTGTTAAATGTTCAGTCAGACAGATAGATACAGATGGATGAGTGCTGAGCTGCACAAAGGCAAGTCAGCATTATTTAATCAATGTTTGTTTGATCCGTGTAAAACAAGTATAAATGTAAGCTGCGTCCCATCTGTCCTATCATCCATGTGAAGCCAACCTCATTTTTAAAACTTGATTTCTTATGTAATTGTCCCAGAATGACACGGGATGATAAGTTGGGAGGTAAGGATGGTGGTGTTTAGCTATGTTTCCTGTCTTGGGTTTCTTCATTTTGCAGTGCCATTCTGGACAATTAGGCAGCTTTGTGCTGCTTAGTAACTACCAAGCAGTAGTTAACAGTGAGCTGTTGATTCCCTGGCCTACATTTGGAAGTGTCTGAGTCGCTCCTGCAAGTTTAACCAGCTTACATCTTACCACTTAGCACACTGCCTGTCAGAAAAGGCCTTCAGCAGCCAGATTTACTGACTCAGTCTTTCCTTCCACTTCCTCATCTGCCAAACAGGGGTTGGAGAGCTATCTCCTAAGTGTAAAGAAAATTAAATTATACTGATTGTGAAGCATAATGACTTGGTATCTATTACAATTCTCCTGTATGTTCTAGATTTCCTTCTCATAGACTACAGCTTGTTCCTGCACTCTCACGTTTTAAAACTCTTCAAAAAAAAAAAAAATTAAGCAATTTAAGCCTGAAAGTAGTTTTGTGATCACTGTTAAGTTACCTACAAACTTCATTTTATATCCACAGTGCACATGATGTAGATTGTTTTTGCTTGAACTATGACATTTAAAAAAAAAAGTTGAAAATTAGAAAATGTAAGAAAAAAACTCAGGGATAAAAGGAGGCAAACTTGGTAAATGTGATGATACACAGAAACAATATTATAAGCAGAAAAACACCCCAATCTTTCTGTAGAGACGAAAGTTGTCTTTCTGACTGTGATGTATTACTGGCTTCCATCCTTGCTGTCACTGCCAGCTGTTTGGATTGCACAAATTGCCCTGTTATTGCCATGGTATGTTATAAAGAAACAGATAAAATCTTAAATGTCCCTTATGATAGGAGCAAATAGGCAGAGAATCAGAAGCAAAGCCTGTCTGTGCCCAGCAGAGCCCGGGGAAGGCCAGTCACCTGAATATGTGTGCAGGGTGCAGCTCCTTAGACTGTGTGTGTACAGGTCTAGCTCCTAAGACTGAGAAAGGGTACTCAAGTCAGCTGAAACTGTGTACAGGGTCCAGAAGGAAAGACTAGGAAGAATATTCCAGGCAAATTATGTTCATAGCACCAGAAGGAATATTGAGCTAAAATGACTTGTCAACGTCAGCAGCAGAGAAAGAAATAGAAAAGAAAAATACAGCCCTGCTGTTCTAATATTAACTGGACTTCTGTATTGACACTTTTCATTTGGATCACTATTGGTGATTGTTAATGTCTCTTATGATGTTGGTCAGTATATGCTATGTAGATTATGCTTCACAGCTAAAATCATCCTCATGAAGTGTAGCTTTGGAATTTCTTTAAAAACCATGTCCATGCCTTGTGATAAATGCCTTAATTCTGTGCTTTTCAGTCTTGACTTTGTGCACTGTTTTTCTTTTATAGTCAATTGACCCTGGCCAGCAGTTCACATGGGAACACTCAAACTTGGAAGTAAACAAACCAAAGAACAGATATGCAAATGTCATTGCATATGATCACTCTAGGGTTCTCTTATCAGCAATAGAAGGTAAGAAAATACATATATTACTCAAACTGTTGTTTTCTCGGATTTAAATATTTGCATGGAAAAGTAGGATTGTTAGCCATCTGTGAAAACATTTACCTCAAAACCAGGCATGGTTTATTGGCATCTTTTCTTTCTTTCAAAACTGAATTACTCACAAGAATGTCTTATCATTGCTGCCATCACAGAAGCTTCCCTCCATGAAGACTTGATAATATACTGATGTTTTTATGTGGGAAGCAATGCCCAACTTACCTATGACTGTTAATTGTTAGGAGTGAACTGATGATTGTCAAAAGAGACCTGTGCACTATTTATTTATTTTAAAAGCAAGGTGAAAGGTGTCTGTGAATAAATCAAGATATCCTTACTGGAGATAGGGTAAAATTAGGAGTGAACAATTGATATGCTGATTAACAGAAACTAAGCAACTTAGGAATATGGAAGGTATGGAATCTGTGAACTGATTTGTAATCTGTCTCTCATGTTTGCAATGGAAGGTGCATCCCGGGGTGGGGGGGTTGATGAATTGGGAGAGTTGCTCCTCAGCAGACCCAGGAGGGTGCTTTCTGCTCCCCTCCTTCCAATAATCAATCCCTGCATGTACCACACTAAAACATCAGGGAATTCACTCCTGATAATCAGAATTTCAGTAGTCCTTTAGACTATAGAAAACCATTAGATTGAAAGACCTTACAAAATATTTTCTTCATGCCACCTAATCCTTTTCACATGTCATAACAGGCAACCTGAGCTACCACCTGTCACATACCACATTTGTCACCAGTGACTCTTTATGCTCAAAAGCTCTCTGTTTAATCTCTTGCAGTTGCTTTAAAAAATCATTGGATAGACGGGCTTCTGATTAATCCTCTCAGGAATTCACAATGCAAACACTCTCATGTACAGTGGTTCAAATGTATACTTTTTTTCCTTTTCTGCTTTTAAGAATCTATGGTAGTAACCACCTTATCTTATAGCTCCTAGCTTGAGTATATCTTGGTTTCAGACAATTGGACTATAGGGTAAAGCTGCTTGCCAAGGACCTGAGTTCAATTCCAGGATCCACATAATGGAAGGATGCAACTTGACTTCTGACCTTCACAATACTATGGCACACACCTGGATAGGCACACACACAAATCAAATATAAATTAAAATGTTAAAGCACTTTTCATAAGCATAAAAGTAACAATATATTAATTCCCAGTCTTTAGAGTAAAAGAAAAACATAAAAAATATGTTTTGTTTTTAATCATTTAAGTTAGCAAGCACCTGCAACCTGGCTTTGGCTCACATTGGCCTTGCATGGTACAGATGAATTGTAAAATTCTATCACATTAGTTTTGATGTTGGAAAGCATTGTAATATCTCTTTCTAGTGGCCAAAGACAGTAGTGTTCAAATGTTAACCTTCTTCTATCCTGACAAGACTGAGGAACTTATCAAAAATCACCAGTGACAGCTGAGGCAGGATTAAGTCATATTGGTAACTGGTTCGTTCTAAGTCCTATGGAGAAATTCAAGCTGGTGTTTGTGGATGGCTGAAAATAGCCTTTACATTTTAGCTCTACAAATCCATTTTTAAATGTAAAAGAAACAAATAGTAGTTTCTTATCTTTAAAATCATTACCACAATAAATTAGGAGCAAAACTAAATCACAGAATAAAAGAACAAAATCTGTCTTTTATTGGCCAAGTAAATATGGAAGTAACTAAATAAATAAGCAAGAGACTATAGTGAGCCACATGTCAACTTTTGCTTTCCTTGGTACTAAATCCCTGTACTCTTGATACTTTGCCATAATCTTCCCTAGCCTATTATTTGTCCCATCTTATAACAAAGGGTGTTGAGATGGTGTTGAGGGAGGGGGCGTGGCACTGATGCATTTATTATGACAGTTGGAAACTTATGTCCATTTTATTCTTAGGCCGTTTTTACAGTGCAGAAGCAGAGGCACTTGACTCAGACTAAAATCTGCCTTTTTATAACTCTGTGCCCACAGATACATCCTAAATCTAGAGCTGACCTAGAAATCAAAGTCTCTCAATGCTCGGTTATGCAAAAGGTTAGAAGAATTCAATTGAGATTTAAGGGCTAGATGGAGAGTTTTAATCTAGATTATAGCCATGAACATCATTTTATCTGAGATCAAGCCCTTCTAACCTGGAAGTACTCCAGGTGATAGTCATTCATTCTGTCTCATTCTTAGAGGGGAGAATGCTATGCATGAGAACTGCATAGTCAGGCACTAACTGAGGCTCCTTGGATGGTAGCTTGAACAACACAGATTGAAATAAAAATGGGAACTGACATTACTAATATCCCACACACACACACACACTTTTTTTGTGGGCTTTTTTTTTTTTTTTTTTTTGGTGTTTATATTTTCATTTGGTTGGTTGGTTGTTGTGGTTTTCTCTCTCTTCTTTTGGATTTTCGAGACAGGGTTTATCTGTATTGTTTTGTCTTGTAGACTGTCCTAGAACTTGCTCTGTAGACCAGGCTGTCCTCAAACTCATAGAAATCCACCTGCCTCTGCCTCCTGAGTGCTGGGATTACAGGTGTACCCCACCAATGTCCAGCTTGACATTACTCAATTTATAAAAGCTAATGTGCTCTATCTCAATGCGCATCTTGACATTACTCAGTTTATAAGCTAATGTGCTCTATCTCTTTAGGCTAACTGAAGTGACTGTGGTTGAGGGTTTTACTTACAACTGCTTTGTAATCATTTTTTCTGGTAGTGTTAGCTGCTCTTTTCATATGGTTTTGCAGAAGTTCTGCTTTAGAGAAGAAACAGAAATGGATGCAGTGACTTACATTGTCTTTATCTTGTTTAATAGTGTGAACTTTTCCATCCTTCCATTAATATCAGGGATCCTGTATAGTTCCAGCTGCTTCCTAAGCTGTTGGAATTGGGGGTGTTCTTGACATCTCCAGATCACTAATTAACCTGATTGAGGAAATGCAGAACAAATCCAGAGAGCAAAATTGTTGCACATCTGGTCAAAATAGGTGCAGAAACACAGGTGAATTTTGACAAGTCTGATAAGCTTCACTTACACAGGTGGTATGAGAAAATTGTGGTTCTCAAACAAGGGAAGTAACAGGAGCTAGTTTAATGACTTAAGTTAGATATTCTCAAAGACCAAATTGAAGCACAATTTTTTGTTTGTTTGTTTTTGTTTTGTTTTGTTTTGAACCTGTTTCTTTGTGCTCTGTAGACCAGGCTGGTCTCAACCACACACAGATCTTCCTGCCTCTGCCTCCTAAAAGCTGGAATTAAAGCCATGTGCCACCGCCACCTAGCTAAAGCTCATCTTTATGTACATATAACCACAAAATAAAATACATGTTAACTTTTATACAATGGGCAATGTATACTTTCATTAAAACAGAGAGAGAGAATAAGATGAAGAGCAAGAAACCAGACATTGAGGCATTAATTGTTCATATATCTTTGTAACTTTGACTCCTCTGAGATCAGTTTCCTCAATTACTACCTCTCTCTTTCATGGCTGGTGAGAATTAGATCTTCACAGCAGTTACTAGGTTAACCTACCTTAAAGATTAATGTGCTGCTATTACAAATATGTCACTTGATATTGACTAGTATGCAGTAGTTAGGAGAAAACTGAGCAGTCAAGAGAGGATAGCCCTACACTCCACAGAACCCAGCTCTGCTAATTCCTTCAACTACCTCAGATCACCAATGGTACTTTCCTAAAGCCTGGTCTTGTCTTTTTGCTCCCAAATCCTTTTAATTATTTGGCAATAGGCTTGGGACTAACTTAAGCACTATATTCCTAAGTTTATTTCCCAGGTTATGCTATAACTAACCCAAAATGTGTCTCAGCATAAAAAAAAATCTTCACTAATCCAAAAGCACTAGTCATAACCTTATAGAAGTACAGCCAAATGCATCACTACCTGACAGATTCTGTGGGTAATCTTTGCTTGGGTGCATTTTAAGGTATCCAGTGTTATTCATTTATTTTTTTTCTAAAACCCAGGAATAGTAGTTTGTGGCATGTTTCTATTACAATGTCTTATAATTAGCAAGAATTATTTATTACTATTCTAGGTAACACAAGTTTCTATTCTGAAACATAATTCATTTTCACTAGCATTAGCGCTAACTTTTCATCAGAAGTATTATAGTTAACAATTTACTTTAAGGCCCATATTGGCAAACACTTCTTCTTTTTTTTATAAAGCTGATGCCTAAATATAAGACAAAATGTTACTTTTTAGTGCAATCACAACAATTAGAACTTAGAGTGGGCCAGATTATCTAAGTGTTTATATGGAAACACCAGGTTATTGATTCCAGCTTTATTATCTATAGTGTTCAAATTATCCTGAAAAGCTCGTTATCATCTTTTTTCCAGAAGATAAATGGAAGCATGAAAAATACAAATATTAGTCTCAGAGCCTGCTCGGTGAATAATGGGCTTTTCACACAAGCATGAGGATTTGAGTTTTAATCCTCAGAACTAACGTGAAACCAGGCTTATCAGCTCATGTCTCTATTCTCAGAACTCCTGTGGCAAGACAGGAGGCAGAGACAGGAGATGCTCTAGGAATTCATGGCTGTGTTTGGGCTGGATATGTAGTCCATTGGAAAACAAGAACCTCTGCCTCAAACAAGGTAGAAGGTGAGGGTGACAATTGATACTTGAGGTTGTCCTCTGACCTATACTTGTACACAGTGACACATTCACACCTACTCTGTTTATCACACACACACAAAAATGCATGACCATCATACTCATAGGCATGAATGCATATTATATACAAAAAGATCACTTTTTAAAGGTGAGAGCTCTTTGTATTGTTGACAGTGAGGAATGGTAAAGCAGAAAAGCTAGCCAGACTTGAAGCTGCTGTTCTTAACAGCATCCCATGTGGACCAGTGCTGCCTTTGCAGTTGTGATGGTTTTGTCTGTACACACAGATTCATTTAAAATATAAAATACAGTTTTGGCTGAAATGACTGT